TGCTTTTAGAAGACAATACAATACATAGCATAGACATCTGAAAGTCATTGTGGAACTCTAAAAATATAATCATCAGAGAAATCTGAAAAATATCTAAACCTGAAAAATATGTTTTGATTAGTAAACTGCTGGAAAAAATGTTAGTGGAAATCTCAGGAAAACAGAACAAGTTCAAGTTATAACTGTCAGGGCTCCGGTAGTTACCCCCCATTTAAATCATGAGTCTCTACCCGGATTTTCAAAGCTCAAAGATTTATTAGAAGACATGCCAGCGCTGCCTGGGTGTAGCCGACTCTGAGACACATCATTCATTGTTACCCTTGACCCTGGTTTTTCCCCATCCCCTGGGCGTATCATAATTCATATTCTCCAATGGGACACATCCATAGCCAAGAGTCATCAATCACACTCTCTAGTTAGAATTTTGTGTGGCAGAAACTTCAGTCACCTGGAAACTATATATGAAAACATCCATGGAATGCAGTTTCGGTTTTGCAGCTGCTACACAACTCTAAAAGACCAGAGACATATTTTATGAGTTGACAATAATTTTCCTTTGAAGTTTAAAATGATTTTGTGTGGAAAAGGGGCGTTGGTCTTACCTGAAACGCCTCTTCTCGGGGAGTCGACGGGAAAATCCAGGTTAGGTTGGGTAGTCTCTAATCTTGTTGCTCCTCAGTCTGAATTGAATTCTGAGGACACGCCTCCCTGGTAACAGTCCCCATTTGAAACGAAGGCAAAGCAAATCCTGCTGTCCCTCTTCAGCCCAAAAGGCAGTCTGCCCAAGACTCTGACCAGACATTCCTCAGGGTGGGGCTGGATTTACCCATCAACTCCCCGAGAAGAGGCATATCAAGTAAGACCAACACCTCTTCTCCACTGAGTGGATGGGAGAATCCAGATTGGGACATACCAAAGCTGGCTGCTGGCTGTCCTACAGGCAGGAATTGGTCTGGTCTATAGTCCCCAACTCAACATGTACACCTTGCAGGACAAGCCTGCCGAAGGCCACCTCTGCAGAGGTGAAAGTGTCCAGTTGATAGTTTCCGGATGAACAGTGATGCTGATAACCACGTCACCACCCAACAAATGTCTTCTACAGAGGCCTGCATTACCCAAGTTGCCATTGTGGCCGCGCTCCTGGTAGAGTGCGCCATAATCCTCCTGGGCACTGGGAGGGCCTGCAGCTTGTAGGACTTGGCAATACATGCCCTTAGCCAACAACCCACAGTGGAAGGTGTAACCTTGTGGCCCAAAGTCGATGGCTGAAAGGAGACGAACAGGGATTCTGTCTTCCTGATGGAAGAGGTTTGCTTGATGTAAATGTGGAAGGCCATCCTCACGTCCAAGGTGTGCCATTTCTTCTCTAGAGCATGTTTAGGCCCTGCACAGAAATCAGGCAATCGATCAACTCCTGTGATCGATGGAACAAGGAGTTCACCTTGGGCAGAAAGGCAGGGTACAACCGCAGAACCACCTTGTTCGCATGAAAAATACAAAGGTCCTTTCTCACAGATAAGGCCGCCAACTCTGAAATCCATCTGGCAGACATAATAGCTACAAGGAAGGCCATCTTGCACTTGAATAAGTGCAGGCTAGCCTCTCACAGGGGCTCAAACAGTGCAGAAGTCAGAGCCTGCAAAACCTTCGGTAGGTCCCAGGTGGGGTACCAGTGCACCACCAGAGACTTTAAGTTTGCGACACCCCTAAGAAAGGCTCTCAACCTAGGTTGCTGGTGAGAGAGCTCAGGTCTTTGAATGAAACCACTGAAGCCAAGGCCTCCACTGCTGCTATAAAGTATTAAGTGACAGTCTCTTGTGACCATAGGGTCAATATGGCGTCTCGAACATCAACCGCAGAAAATCTTCCACGTTGCATCATAAATTCTAGTAGTGGAAGGCCGTCTGGTGACCTGGATTGCCTGGATGACCTTACTGGAGAACTGCACATATCTTAGGAGTCCCCAATAAAGTTCTAGACAGTCAACTGGAGCCACTTGGCTCCGGATGGTTAATGGGACCCTGGCTGAGGGAGACTGTCCAGGGAAATCCTCCAAGGCATGGAAATCGACAGGATGACCAGATCGGTGAACCACATTCTGGGCCAGTATGGAGCTAACACAAAGACCTCCGCCCTCTCCGACAGCACCTTTCTGATTGTCCCTGGGATCAGGGAAAGAAGATAGGCATACAACAGGCCCTGGGGCCACGGGCAGTGTAATGCCTTGACTCCTCCCTGGTGCTGGAAACCTCGCAAAAATCTTGGGAGTTGGGTGTTTGACGGAGAGGCAAAGAGGTCCAGTAATGGATGGCTGAACCACTCCGAAAGTTCCTCAAGCAGACTGGGATGCAGGCACTACTCTGACTTGTCAACTGTGGCCCTGCTTAACCAGTCTGCCTGCACATTCAAGACTCCCGAGATATGCTCTGCCCATATCGATAGACAGTGTCTCTCTGCCCAAAGACACAACTGGATTGCTTCCTACATGAGGGACTTGGATCGAGTGCCCCCCTGCTGATTTATATGGGCCTTGGTAGCCACATTGTCTGTGAGGAGGACATGCTGTCCTGAGACCTCCTGCTGGAAACTCCTGAGTGCCAAACGGGCTGCCCTGAATTCAAACCAGTTTATATTGTGGTGAAGCTCTCTTGCAACACAACCCCTGGATTACCTGGGGTCTGAGGTGGGCACCCCCTCAGCCAAACAGGCTGGCATTGGTTGTGATGGTCAGCCTTTATGGTTCCTTGTAGAAACAATCCTGGCAGATGGCCCTGTACTGCCACCAGCGGAAGGAGCAAAGTACTCCTGGTGGCACCCAAACCCTCGTTGCCGAGTTGCCCCTGCCCCCACTCTGATAGGGAAGCAGAAACCACTGCAGGGAACAGGCGTGGAACCAAGCCCAGGGGACTATACCAATACAGGAGATCATTTTGCCCAGGAGCTGATTCAGCAAGGCGAGAGGAGCCCTTCTGAGGACAGCCCCTCAGAGGAGCGCCTCTGAGATCTGTCAAGGCCTTGATGCTGTCCCATCGCTCCTAGGAGAGGACCTGTCCAATTAGGGTGTCTATAATCACCCCCAAATGTAAAAGTTGAGTCGAGGGAACTAGATGGCATTTGTCCATGTTGATTGAGAATCCGTGCTCCCAAAGGACCCAATTGTTGCATGCAGATCCTCCTCCGCTTGAAGGTGCGAGGAGGAATCAATCAGAATGTTGTCTAAGTAGCACTGGATCCTGATGGATAGAGTCCTGAGGTATGCTGCCATTTAGTAAATGTCCTTGGGGTCAATGACATGCCAAACAGAAGTGCCCTCTATTGAAAGTGGTGTCCCACATAACAAAACCTCAGGACCTGGCAGTGGCTTGGATGAACAGGGATATGGAGGTATGCCTCCGTCAGATCCACAGAAGTCAAGAAGTCTCTCTCCCGGATTCCCTCCAGGATGAAATGGACAGAGTGCATCTTGAATCTTTTGTAGATCAGATGCCTGTTGAGTCCCTTGAGATTGAGGATTGCTCTCCACCACCACCACCCGAGGCCTTTTGGATGACAAACAAAATAGAATAAAACCCCTACCCCCTCTGGTCCATTGGAACCGGCTGGATGGCCTGGATATCCAACAAATGCGGGATTGTCGATTCCATGAGGCCCCTCTTTGTCGGGTCTCTAGAGACGGGGCAACGGATAAAAAACCTTGAGTGAGAAGAGAAACTTTAGGGAAAGCCCTGAACCTATTGTTTCCCTGATCCAGGCATCCATCATGGTCTCCTCCCACCACAATGCAAAGAGACTCAGACGGTCTCCTATGGGAGGATGAACCCTGACATCACTTGGGACTTCTAAAAGACTTGCCGGTGCCATGAAAGGACCGTTTGCCCTGTGGCTGCTGATAGCCTCTGGCTCCAAACGCAGGTCTATCTGCCTGTGAGGAGGGCATGCTCTACCCCTGAGGTGGGCAAATACTGGCGCTGCGGTCATAGTTCTGCAGCTATTTCCTGCCTGATGGCTTGCGAGAGGGAATCTCTTGAATCTGAGGCACCTCTGGGCGGAGCCCCGCCATTGTAGGGGTGAAGGTGGCCTCTGGCACAGCCCTGGCCCAATTGAGAGGCTGCCTCCCTTGCCTAGTTGCTTCAGGCATCTCTGACTGGTCATAAATAGAAGCCTCCGCATTTGCAGAAACTGGAAGGCTTTGCTGTAACAAATGCTTGCTAGAGCCACCTGGTGACCTGGATCTGAAGTGTAGTCTATTAAGCTCTCCAGACTGCTCCTGCTGTGAGGCCTCCTCAGGAAAATGGCACAAAAGTGAGCTGTCAGCCATCTTGAAGCCCTCTAGAGCCTGGTCAAATTCTTTATCTAAGGTTTTCTGCCTTCATGTAGCCTCCTTCTCCTCAGCCCTGGAGCGAGAGCCCTGCCCTAATTTAAGCTGCAGCCTCCAGGCCAGCTGACCTGGACTTAGCTGAGCCTTTAACAGCTCTGTCTCTAGACTGCTGAGGAGCTGTCACCTCCTGAGCAGTTTCTGTGGCATCCATTTTGTGGGCGCCAAACGAACAAGCAAGAGAAAAAGTTTTGAAGAAAAAATAAAAATAAAAATACCAAAAACAAACAGACAGCGATCTCTAGAGCAGGTCCATGCAGCTCCAGGAAGCAAACATGGCTCAGATGTCAGCCCAGCACCACTCTATACCAAGTTAAAAAAAAAATTTAAACTGCAGCAAGCCCTGACGAAACCAGGAGCTTGCAAGCGGGACCCTGGCTGCTCCCCAATCTGTCAGACAGTCTTACGCGACTCACAGCTGCCATGGCGATTCAGGAACCTGTCAAGTTTGACTGAACAACTAGACCCAGAACAGACTCCCCAGCAGCAAGCCTAGATACTGTCCAGGAGCTTGCCCACAAGACCTGAGTCGGCCGCTGAATTAATGGCAGGATTAAATGACTCGCAGTTGCCGCAACTCCAGCCCCCATCCCACTAACATGGTATCCCATCCTGGGGCCCTGACAATAAAAATAAAAAAGGTGCTAAAATACAAAGGCGCGGAAAAAAACAAAGAGTGTCTGTCCTAAGTTGGACAGCTTTCAAATCTTTCCAACTGACTCTGATGTCAATGGGAGATCCAGGGATTAATAATACAAGTCTCTTTTTTAAAACTCAAGATCTTCAGAGCCTTAAGGAACATCTGAATGAGCTTGAAACTGAGTTGAAACACTGGGGACCGTTACCAGGGAGGCGTGTCCTCCGAATTCAACTCAGTCTGAAGAGCAATGAGACTAGAGACTACCCAACTTAACCTGGATTCTCTCATCAATTCAGTGGAGAATCCAATGTAACTATTTTTAGTCAAAGCATATATTTAAAGCAAAAAATGCATTAATCATATAAATATGTGTATATAATTTTTGTTTTTTTCTGTTTTATAATTTGAGTTTTTTAATTCTTACAGGAATAGTGCAAAAATTGTTGCTGTGATACTTAATTTCAGATTGGTAACAATACACAGAAACACAAATAAATGTTTTCTTTAAGTATCACAGCACCCCCCCCCCCCATGCTCCATTTTGGGGCCTTCTGTGCCACAGGAAAGCCTCTATGGGGAAGCGTTTTTGCTCCCAGAAGGCTTCCCTGGGCCTAGGAAGGCAAAAAATGGAGCATAGAGGGGGCATGCAGCACCCTCCTGCACTCTGTTTTGGGGGCTCCTTAGGGGAGCCTCCTGGGGGGCATTTTTGCTCCCAGAAGCCTAGGAAGGCAAAAAATGGAGGGGAGGCCTGGGGTGTGTGCTGCGCCTCCTCTCCATTTTTTGCCTTTTTTGGCCTCAGGGAAGCCTCCTTGGCGAAGCAGTAAGTAAGCAAGGGGAATCCCGGCACAGCTGATCATAGGAACAACTGATCGTCAGGAGGGGAAAAAGAAATATCTTAAAGAGTGACTGGGCAGGGAAGAATGCAGTCAGTGATGTCAGGCATGCACACAATGTTGTGCATGCACTATAGGGACTGACTGGGCGGGGAGGGGAGGGGCCAGCCAGGGGCACAATTTGCCGGTTCTCTGAACTGCACAGAATCATAACCACCAATTCTATAGAACCTGTCTGAAGCGGTAGAATCCCACTCCTGGTTATAATGACACTGAAAATAGTGACTTATGACTGTTTTTCGCACTTACAAAGATTGCAGCATCCCATGGTCACATGTTCAAAATTTGAACACTTGGCAACTGGCATGCAATTATGATGGTTGTAGTGTCGAGGGACATATGATCACCTTTTAGACTTTCTGACAAGCAAAGTCAATGGGGAATGTGTGTGCATAAGCACATACTTTCATTTTAATTTGCCTCTTGGGGGGAAAAACTGTACTCTTTTTGACTTGGGCCTTTAGGATACTGGCACTAACACAACTCCTTTTTATGGTTTCTTCTGAACACCAAGCCAAGAAAGATGATAGAAACTGTTTGTATAGCCAAAAGACTAGTCTCAACAGTGGGTTTTTTTTTAAGGTGGGGCGAGAATTTAGCTGCATTCACCTTTCCCCACCTTCCCTCTGCCTTTCTCTCCTTTAGCCAAAAGACCTATAAGCATTTAATGTACAGCCAGGAAGCATTAAAAAATATTGAAAAGACTCTAATGCTCCTGGGATGTGACACTCTCATCACACTCTGGACTTCAGCCAAGTTCATCCGTTAATAGGCAGCTACAACCATTGCCTAACCCCCTCCCATTTTCCTCCTCTCCCTTTATTCCCCCACCCCCACAATTCGCCCTATGCTGGCCCTTTTCTCTGACCCCTCTCAGTCCTAAAAAACTAGACATCGATTATGTCTGCGCTTTTCCCTTTCCATTCAAGATAAACATAACACTTCAAGTCCAGGGCACACCCTGGGACCCTTCACAAAGCCATCTATCATTCTGTCTGCCAAACCAGTCTGGCCACACTAAGGCACAACAAAATAATGATCTCAATGTACAATTTTCCCTTTGTTGTGCTTGCTCTCCTACAACTAACCTCTTTGCCTCTACCACTTTCTCAGGAGCAGCTGCTATTGACCACAAAATCATTTTCTCACAAATGCACTTTTTTAAAAAAAGTTAAAGAAATTAAGTGTGAAGGCTTTTATGGATTTTATTCTGAAAGCACATATTTTCCCAAAGCTCAAGGTGATTAAAATATTTTAAGTTCTACATGTGTGTTTGTGTCAGTGTGTACAAGCCTACATGTATTTGAAAATGCTTTGCAAATTGCCACTATTTTATATTTTTAGTATTTACTATTTTGAAAGCTGATTAATTGCTACAAAAAAATTTAATTACTCCAGGCAAAAAAGAAGCAGCAGCAGCTAATTTTAACTTCTAAAAACAACCAGAGCAGTATTTCTTGCCAACCTTTTTGGTAAAGACCAAACTGCAAATAGTTCAAATAGAACAATTGCTCCAAGATAAGAAAAAGTCTACTGGGCTGTACCTCTTTTCCTATTACATGCATTACAGAAAAAGAGACTGGGAAAGTGATTGCCCCAGAAATGTCAAATAAGTAAGCCAAGCCTGACATACAACTGCAGACATGAAAAAAGGAACAATTTTCATAATTATGTGACTTACTTAGTCATTGTATTTCTTTCCCAAATACACACATGTGATCCAATAGTTTTGTTTTCATACTTTGGGGAGAAATAGTATTTAGAGAGATGTGGCTCACATCACAAAAGTCCAGGTTTTCTACTTTACATCAATGAAACTGTTGTTTTGCAAAAACAACCAAAAATCTTATAGCACTTAAAATCAAGCATATTGATTATACTATATGCTTTAAAAGGTATGGTATATGCTTGAATAATATAGTAATAAATGTGGAATTTCAAAACTACATTAAGTCCTATTTGCTTTTTTTTAAAAATAGTAGAGCCAACCTTCTGTTAGCTTTTCTAATACAACAATTCTGATCATAATCGGAAAGAGGGAGATGGCAATTCAAAAATGTGATTGATAAATAGATAAATAATAAATAATTATGAAGAATTAAATTCCATCCGATTCAACAGGGTTAATTTTCCTGAAAACTGTATTATATTTATATAAAGATTTCCTTCCTGACAATCTGCACAAATGGTTAGAATTTAAAATATTTTGTGCATTCACTGAACTGATTTGCAAACTTCTTTAAGGCTACCACCTGTCCCAATGATGGGGAAATGTGCAAACTGATTTGCAAACTTCTTTAAGACTGCCACCTATCCCTCTGAGGAAAAATATTCTGGTTGTTGGCACTGTTAAACCAGAATTTTCTAACTCCCTGCTAGCCCCCAATATAGATGAACCTGTGGTACCCTAGCCTCTTCCTCCACTACATCAAGCGAAGTGGAAGCTCTCAAACCAGAGGACAAGAGAACAGAGTTAGCACTTCACAGGGCTCACCAAACAGACATGTGGGTTCTCAGAGTGGCTACACCTGCTTCATTCTTTACCAGATCTTCCCTAAGGTGGCTCCGTCACCTGAGAGATTACATTCCTTCATCAAATACCTGGGCGCATCAAGACATAGCCAAATTGATGGCAGCTGTAGAATTCTCTGCAGATGCAACATTTAATTCGGTAAATTTTCTTCAAGAGCCATAGCGTCCCAAGTCACAGAACGACGCCTACTTTGGCTTCGACACTGGCAAACAGATACCAAACATAAATGGAAGCTGGCATCCGCCCCCTTTGAAGGGGACAAACTGTTTCGATCTGCCCTGGATCCGCTCCTGGTGGAATCTTGGAATAAGAAGATACTTCCCCCTCTTATTCGCAAGCCTTAAAGTAGACTATCCCAGTCCTTTCGGAGGATTTCCTTTCGTCCCTTCTATCAAGGAACCTATCCTCAGAGAACACAGAGACCCTTTGGGTACCGACAGGAACAGCAGGCAGAAAGATCTGACTTTGGTGACAGAAATAGGTGGGGAGGGCAGACAAAAAGGCCCTTTCATGGGGGAGGTAATAAGTCCTTTTGTCGGCCCAAATAGTATCATCCCCACTCTCCCATAGGAGGACAGTTAAGGCTATTTGCAGATCAATGGAAATCCACAACATTAGATGCCTGGGTCAGAGAGACCATAAGATCAGGTCTCTCTCTAGAGTTCCTCTCCACACACCCAAACTTCTTTTTGCAGTGCCCTGTTTCAAGGGATACTACCAAAAGGACCCTTATGGAGACAGCAATCCAGCATTTGCTGGATATCTGCGCAATTCAACCTGTGTCGACAGAGCAACAAGGGCAAGGATTTTATTCACATCTATTTGTGGCTCCAAAGAGTTCAGAGGGATGGAGGGCAATTCTAGACTTAAAACCCCTGAATCGCTTCCTGATCTACAGGTGGTTTAAGATGAGCTCATTACAATCAATATTCCTCAGCATCAGACAGGGAGATGTTTTAACATCTATAGACTTAGCAGAAGCATATATACATATGCCTATCAGACCCTTGCATAGCAGATTACTTAGATTCTGTTAGAATGGCCATCACTACGAGTATAAAGCCCTTCCATTTGGCCTGGCGTCAGCACCCCGAACCTTTACAAAGGTTCTGGCAGCATTAGCAGGCCATCTTAGAAGTAAGCCAGTCCAGCTACAATGCTATCTCGATGACATATTCATTTTGTCATTATCCTGCCAACAGATGGAGATAGTACCCTATAGGCTCTCCAACAACATGGATTTTCAATAAATTGGGCCAAGAGTTATTTGACATCCTCAACTTGTCTCCAGCACTTGGAAGCCATTATTGATACAGTGGCAGGGAAGGTTTCCCTTTCACTGGATAGGCAGAGTAACATTAGGGAGTTGTCAAACAAGGTCAGAATTCTAAAACAAGTACCCCTGCCCAATTATCCAAACTGCTACGAAAAATGATCTCCTGCATTTCTATTGTTCCCTGGACCCAGCTCCGTGCCAGAATCCTACAATGGTTTCTGCTCCCATATCAATGGTCAGGAAGGAGCAATGCCATATCCAAGGTCACTGTTCCATCAAAGGTTCTCATATCGCTTCACTGGTGGACCACAACAAACATCAACAAGTGCTATATTTTCAAGACCCTCATAGACAATCACAACAGACAAAAGTCTATTTGGATGGGGGGGGGACATTATCAGTCCCTTGTAGCTGAGGGTCATTGGTTCACGACAGAACAAACCTGCAGCATAAACTGGCTGGAATTGAAAGCAGCCCATCTGGCCCTCCGCAAATTTCTACCACTGATCCAGGGACAGCATGTCCTCCTCCTGACCAACAACGTGGCCACGAAGGCCCACATAAACAGGCAGGGGGGCACACATTCAAAATCATTAATGAGACAGAGAGACTGTGCCACTGGGCAGAGAGGAACTTAAACTCCATCAAAGCAGAACACATCTCGCGATACTCCAATATCCAGGCAGACTGGTTGAGCAGGGCCACTGTCAACCATTCCAAGTGGTGCCTGCACCTGAAACTGTTCCAGGAGATGTCACTTCTTTTCGGCCAACCGATCATAGACCTCTCTGCCTCACC